CATCCCACCCTTGCCTGGCTTTTTTTTTTTTAAAGTTCTAATAAGTCCCGGCAGCTGCTTGTGGAAGGACACACACACTTCAGGGGCACAAAGGGGCCTGCCATGCAGTGTGACTTCCCAGCCCCGTGATCGATGTTGGCTGTGTGTCCCAGTGCCGGCAGCGTGTCGACGGGGGTGGGGTGTGCTCCTGGGGGTGGCGAGGGCGGTGAGAACACAGACAGCCCCTTTTAGAACGTTGGTGCTTCTCAAGCTGTCAGAACCAAATCCCAGGCTCTGGATTTTGTGCTTCAAGCTGCGCGTGTGCGTGTGTGCGTGTGTGTGTGTGTCTCACGTGCATGTGTCTGCCCTAGAAAGAGGCACAGTTCGAGGAACCACCTGGCTTCCCTGGCAGGGCTGGGAGCTGGGCTCAGGTGGACCGGGCAGGTCACACAGATGGCTGAGGAGTTGTTGCGTGCCCACGATCTGGGGGTGCTCGCCCGGACACGCGGCGTCTGTGTCTGCTTGGTGGCCTTGGCGTGGATTGGCATGCGTGGGAGCCCAGCTCTCAGTCTGTTCTCCTGGGAGGGAGCCCGGGGGCGGCCGGGAGCTGGTGCTTCTGGGTTTCCTTCTCACCCTGGCATCTGCTTCATAAATGTCTGGAGCCGTCTTGGGAGGTATTTGGGGACATCTGCCGTCATCCGAAGTTCTTCCTGCTTGGGGTCCAGGTCACGTGAGGAGGGCATTCCTCATTTTCCATAGCCTTGGTGCTGTTCCCCAGGTGTGTCCCAGGTGGCCAGGGGCAGGGCCTGGAGCGGGGGCCAGCTGCACAGAACCGGGGGTGGAGGGGGGCGGGCATCAGCGGCTCTGTCCTGCTTACCATGTAGCAGCTCCTTCCCCGAGCACGTTTGAGCTCTTTTCGGATCCGCTGCAGCTGCCTCTAGGACTCCAGTCACTGTCAGGACTTGGCCCCTGGAGCCTGCAGACCTGGGTTCAAATCCTGGTTCTGCCACATTCCAGCCGGGTCCGCTTGGCAGATGGCAGGTGGCGTCTTCTTCCTGAGCGTCCGGTTTCCTTGTCTGTGACTTCCTTGACGGAAATAATGACCTCTTCACATACGGTGCCGGCACGCGGGACCGGGTGCTCTGTGCCCCTGCCCCCCATCCTCTCCTGTCCTCGCAGCAGCCTTCTGAGGTTGGGGCTGATGTTACCTTCGCTTCCTAGATGAAGAAACTGAGGCGAAGAGCGCTTAACAGTCTGTCGGGGTGACCTAAGTGACGTGACTTAAACCGGGCCACTGGCTCCGAGCCCACACTCAGCCGCCGCTCTCTGGGGTGGGCGGGTAGGAAGGGTGCCCCAGCCTTTCCTCTCACGGTCCCTTGAGTGCCACCCACGTGAGGGTGCTTGGGGGTCGGTGCAGATCTTACCGCCGTGCGTTCCCGACTTCACGTGACCGTGTCTTGTAACTAAATCTCTGGCTGGCATCTAATACCTGTGACGACGAAGAGGCCTCGGGCTTTTCTTGTTGGTTGCCAGGGGGCGGAGACCCAGGCGGGGACAAGGGGTCAGAGGGAGCGTCCAGGTCTTCGTTGCCAGCGGCCGGTGGCCCAAAGCTTCTCAGGGTCCCGCCGCCTCCCACCAGGCCTCGCTGAGAGGTCCAGGGTGGCGGGAGGGGCCCCTGGGGGTGCTCTCCCAGCGAGGCAGGGCCGGGCTGGCCCGGGGTCAGCTGCCTTCCCCCAGTGCCCCTCGGTTGGGAGAGTTGGGCCGTCAGCGTCCCTTTTGTCTTTTGTCTTTGCAAACGAGAACAATCGGGCGGGAGCGCGGCTGGCCTGACTCAGCAGTCAGTGTTGTGTGCTGCGGGCTGGCAGTGAGGCTGGGCCTGCGCCGGCCGAGGGCACGGTGGGAGCCAGGGCTGGGCAGCTCGGCCTTTTCAACCAGTTAACCCCTCTCCTGCCTGGCCGAACTTCCCCCGGACTTCCTGCCTCCGATCCTATGCCTTGCACAGGTCTAAAGGTTGCACGGCCCCACCTTTGGGCAAGGCCACTGCGGAATCCTCGCCTGTGGGGCCGTAAGCATCAGCGTGGGAGATTCGCCAAAGAATCTCTTAACAAGTTACACTTTTTGCTTGGATTCCCTGGCTCTCGGGTTTTTTTTTTTTTTTTTTTTTTTTTTAAGGGGGATGGGGTCTTTCAGGACCTAACTTGGGCTGTGCATTCCTGTCCTGTAACTGTGTGTGGGGCCAAGGTCTGAGGTTTGGAGAATCCTTCCTTGGCAGGTGACCAGTGACTTAACCATGAGAGGGAGGACATGACCGAGGCCATAGACCATCCAGCTGAGCATCTCTTGGCCGACCCCCCCGGGTGGGACAGTCAGCAGCCTGTAGGCAGGAAAGTTCCAAGTGGTCTGGAGAGGGCACATGTCCGGGCAGAGCTTTGAGCCTTGTCTGGAAGGGACCTCCTGGTGTCAGAGGGTGTATGTCCAGGGCTAGACCTAAGACCTGCCAGGGTCTGAGGTTTGTCCTGGGCCTGGCTGTACTTGGAACCTCTCCTTGGGTTATTTTTGAAGGGCCAGCTGCTTCTCTGGGCACAGCCCCCGTCCCTTTTCTTAAGGGGGCCTTGCTGGGGCCTTCACATCCATTCACCGCCAAGTCCTGTTCTGTGGCCAGGGTGAGACCAGGCCCCAGGTCCCAGACAGCAGGGTCATCCTGTGTTGGAGCCAGGATCCCAGGGTCTGCCTGGGCTCATCTCCCCGGAGATGACCAGGATGGAGACCAGGATGCAGGGCTGACTTGAGCACTGAGTGGGTGCCTTTGTGCAGAGCCGGTGGGTCGGGGGCCTGGCCCACAGAGAGACTTGTATTTGTCAGGGACCCAGCTCCTAGCAGCCCTCCGACAAGGCCTGTTGCCCGAGCTGCCCCGTGCAGGCACCGGGTGAGGAGAAACTTGTCTGAGCTCACGCAGTGTGGGGCCGGGGGCCCGATTGGGTGGCTCCAGCACTCTCCTTCCTTCCACGAGGCCCCAGCACCTCCCTCTGGCCAGCTCTTGAGCAAATCCGAGCCAGACACCCCAGGACTGACACCCACTATGGGACCCTCTTGGGGCGGTACATGCCTTGTGGGTCCAGGGACGCCTATGCTCTCTGGGCAGGCTCCCGCTGTCCCCGCCATCACCAGGCCCCAGGTGTGTGCACGCCGAGGGGCCCGAGCCCAGTACCTGGGTCACCAGGGTCGGGGGTGGGGGGGGG